GAATCCAGTCTGGAGGTCTGATATCTCAGGGCTCTGCCTCACGTTCTGCTACATCATTCTACATCAGGACGTCCATGGACAAACCTAAAAAGCTAAATATAAAAGTATTTATCAGAAGTAATATTTAGCCTGTTTGCAATCTTAGTGGATGCAGAACTTAAGCCTGCTCCAAATGTTTATAACAAATAAAATGCTTCTCAAAGTGCAACCTGAGGGATACAAGAATGTATGAGGCCAATGTTTTTGCATTGCATCCATAAGTTACATCTTGAGGGAAAGTACAGGAGTGAAGGAAATCTTGAATGGTAAGCCACGTGAAAGCTAAAGTAGCATTTCCTTTAATGCCAAAGTTTTTGACCTAATGACTACACAAAGGCCTAACTGCCAGAAAACTGAGAGTCAAAGGGATCTATGATACACAATTTCATTTTGCCAGCATTTATCTCCTGAAACTTTAAAGACAGAATAAAGATTCACTTGACTATCTCCACAAATCTTCACAAACAAGTCGGATATCACAGTGCCGGTTCCCCTTTGATCAATTTCATTAATTTATGGATTTTTATCTTCCGGAGCTGACTTTGCTTTTGATGTTGTTATTTGCAGGCGTACAGCATGCAGGTCTGCAGGTCAAAGGTAAACCGAGGCCAGGCTTCCCCTCAGTTAATGTGTGCCATCAGCACACGTGCTCTACTCTGTCCCCATTAGACTGCAAATTGATTATCTGGAGGGAGTTTAAAAGACATAATTTAAACAATGATTTACTTAGCTGATAACTTAGCACTTCCCACAGGTACACGAGAGCAACTGCTATTTGATAGTCTTCGCAGGAAGAACAGGTCAGGAGTTTGCTGTCACAACCTCTGACAAAAAAACAGTTGCAACATCAAGATGCCTAATTCCAGTTTTCAGAAGTAACTCAGAAAAATACTTCTGATACCTACATGTTTGTTTTTACTGCTGAGTGGGAATAACACACTCAGAATATGACCTCTGTAATGACATAAAGTCAGTGAAAGCAGGGAGTATCTCACTGATTTCCCAACACTGGACAGAATGTGTTGTACGTGATCTTGTGCACACTTTTGTCAAAAAGCAGAAATCTAAGAGGTTTTTAAGCAGCTGGTTCGTTTGAACTAGAAAAACAACTTACTACAGCAGGAAGACGGTGTAAGGCACATAGAAGTATACAGAATGTCTACTTCTTACACGTGGCTGTACAAAAGGTGGAACCTGTAAAAGAAAACCCATAAAATCCAATTCAATAAAACGGACACAGCTGACTATATCATGGAAAATGCTTTGTAAATCCATTCCCTTTGTGGGATCTGAGAGTTGGTATTGCTAAGCCGAGCCATGATAATTCAAGGAGAGCTCCAGGTCTGGTGGGTCTGGTACTAATATGATTAGCACATATCTGGGGGATTTAAAACTGTGATTTCACAATTTGAGTGTTTCCTTAAAAGATGGTCTTTTAAACTTTCAGTCTGTCTTTTATATCCCAGATCAGAAATCAGTGAGTCAATGAACAATACCAGGAAAATGTAAAGGCCAGAAATCAGTAATGTCCTCTATCAAAATATCATACTTCAAAAGATCAAAAATGTCATTTCACTTTAATAGAATTAAATTCTGTCAAGGACAAGTCATCCATTAAATCAGTTAGATTTTAAACAGTACTTTTACTTCCTCCGCGGTTCTCATTCGCACATGAGTCTGAGTATATAATACTGTTTACCTTATGTCTGCGATGGACTGTAAAACTGCCACCAGAGCATAAATATTGTTATCTTGTCTTCTGACAGATTTGTCTCTCTCTCCCCCCGTTCCTTTTGAAGTTCCGCCACACCAACATCAAGGCTGTAGCTACTGCGGACACTGAGGTCATGTCATCTGCATTTGCGTCTGTGTTAGGCTTTAAGAAAGAAAAAAACGAAACGTCTGTGGAGAAGGTACCAGAAAATATGTAGATATACTCTGTGCCTGGTCAAGATTTGTTTTTGTTGGATTAGGATATGGGACAGTCCTAATCAGCATGATTTTTTTCTTTTTCACTGCAACAAAATGATCCCCAGGACCTGCTAAAATTCTCATCAGGAACCACACACTGGATGTTTGAAAAAAAAAAAAAGAAGCTCCCTCTTGTACTACTGGAAACAAAATAATAAACTTAGCTATCAATCTATGTTTTAGTAGACGCCTAGCCCCGCCCACTTTACACAAGCCCATCCAATTAGCTCATCCCCTCCTCAGAGGAGTGATCTGTATTTCCGAAACTCCGGGCTGCTTGTTCATTGTACTGAGTCAGCGGCCATACGCAAATGGATCCAGAGGAGGGCTGTGCTGTGTAGGCTGCACTCTACATAAGCTCTCAACCTGCGGGACTGCGCGCACATACTGCCGACTGGAGATCGCAGGTAGCATCTGGGGGCTTGACTTACACATCAGAGGCTCTGATTTGTGCCTATTTTCACAAGGACAAGCTTAAATCCAGGATTGTCTGACGAGACCTTTCATACATCCTCCGTTCCTGATCTGCCCATCGGGTGCATAGAGCAGTACAATGCGGCGGCTGTGCTGTTGACTAATTGGACACCCCCTCCACCTTTTTTTCTTCTTTTATTTTGCTTTTTTTTTTGCCGGTTCTTACTCAAGGAGGCACATTTCCAAATCAATGATGAAGCTCAAACCAAACCAGACCAGGACATACGATGGCGACGGTTTCAAGAAGAGAGCGGCATGTCTGTGTTTCAAGAATGAACGTGAAGAAGAGGTAAGAAAGGATCCCAGTGTGACGCTGTTTTCCTGCATCTTATCAACAATATGCAGCGTTTGTGTGCTGTGACTTTATGGCCTAATCAATCTGCATCTAGCAGCCATTCAAAGTGCACAGGGATGCTCGTTTTCAAAACGCACAACGATCCGTAATAAGACACACGGGCTTTGATTTATGGTGTTGCCTACTAGGTGTAGTTACGTGTTTGCTGGCAAAGCCGCTGTCTTTTTGGTTTGTGTTTGCGTGCTGCTGATGTGCCTTGGGCCATCCAGTTTAGGCTAGTTTGAGGAGCACGTAGAGAAAAGGGGGGAAAAAGCGGTGCTGTCGAGCCACCTTCACCTAGCATCGTACGACTAATAGTATGTTTGTTTCAAATTAAAACACACGGGCAGCAGCGCAATGTGAAACTGCCCTCTCAAGTAAGGCGAAGCTCTTATTTTGAAAGTAACTTCCTGTTAGCTTTTCGCTAGCTTGAAGCAACGAGCAGAAGGGGGGCGAGGCGCTCACTTGTACGGTTCCTTTAGTAGAGGGTTTAACAGTAGCGTGGGCTGAGCGGGGGGTAACAATATATGCCACAGGTCTACTGCTAAATATATTCATCAGATGTAGGGTCATTTTAATATGACAATAATGTAAGTGTACATGACCGAGCAGCTTCATTCACGGTTATGCTGCATCCCGCCGGCCTTGGGCGGGCTGCTGCGTAGCAATACTGTTGATTAGGATTTAAAGGGACCATCACATGTAAATAATGAATGGATGTGACAGGCTCTGATGGGCAGTGCTTTAGACCCACCTCAAAGGAGATTTAAGGTAACCTAAAGCAGGGCTTCAGTGAGACGTCCGCCAGAATTTAAACTACCATAGTTTTCTATTTTATTTTATTTTTTATTTTGTGCGGTGACTGTTTCCTCCCCCTTTTTTTGCAATATTTATTTGTAACTACCCCCCCCCCCCCCCCCCCCCCCCACACACACACACACACACACACCATAAATGTCAAAAGCTGTAAAAATGAACCTTATATAATTTCTCTGTCTGCTAACTGGTCTGGTTAACTGGTTTACGTGCATGAATGTTTCACCAGTAAGTGACAAAAGTCAAGGCTGTCCCCTGCATATTCTGGCTTGACTATATATAGCCCTTTTTTGGCCTGGCATAAACAAAGTGTTACACAATGTGCAGTAAAGACATCACTGTCTGCTGTCACTAGACAGCCACTAAGAGCTCTGCCTAGGCTCTCCAGTGTTTGGCTGTTAAACACACCATATCAGGAATTTTACAAGCATGCAAACAGTATATCTGCTTGTTTGCACATGTGGACGTGGTATGCTGTTGTTATGTAAGATTTCTTTTAAATGCGTAGCCATAAAAGAAATAGAGATACTGTGCAGAGATGCAGTTTTGCTTTCTTTAGAATTGTTTTGGTTTGGCCATTTTTACTTGCATTAGTGTACTGTAATATTGTGACAACAGAAGGATGTAGGTGACTACTACCCTCAGGACTTTAACAAGCATGTCTGGGTTCGCAACCACAAACATGACTCAGCTTTAAGTAAGAGAACTGATGTGATGCTCTTACTGTAACTGGGTTGGCACTAATGGTGATTTTTGAAGACGACTCACATGTAGTGTAGGCTTTGTAGTAACACACATATACATTACATATAGACATGTAGACATTGGATACCTAACTCTGGTGGAACAGGAGCTCTAGATCTGCTCAGCTGTTTTTGTTTTGGAAGGGAAAGGAGAAAGCAGGGCCCTTAAGGCCAGATATTCTGTGACAGCAATAGTTTAACTTCGAACAGTGAAAAATGGGAAGCTGACAATTCAAAGAGACAGACAAGTTGGTTGAGCTGGTGAAATTACATTTCATCACAACAGTGCTAAGTTGTCAAAACGAATAATTAAGCAAGAAGAGCCAGTGTTTTTATGTGTGTCTACTTTAAGTCTAAACATGTCAGTAATATGAAAGCCACATATGTTAGTGTGCTAACATATGTGGTTAATGTGATGCATCATAATAAAAGGATTTCAGCACTGCTTTCCCCAGTTTCCCCTACTTTCGCTTGGTATAATTCAATCAAATTTTGTGCTCACTGAATTATGTAATGTCCGTGCTGCCTCAAAGCTGCAATATGGCTATTTTACAGTCACCTTCAGTCTATTTTGGCTTTCCAGCCTGAAATTTTCATTGTTTTGCTTTGCTTTGGTCCTCCCTCTTTCTTCAGCCTTTTGTCTGCCGCTATTAGTCTAACAGAAAGGCCTGTACAATACTTTCTAGCTGGGCCATAAAATCTTCAACTACTAGAGCAACAGTTGCTCAGATTTGCTAATTTAGTTGTCTACCTTCTTAATGTGCTTCCAGTGGTTTAGTGTTTAACACATTCACTCGGCGAGCGAAGGGTCACTTGTTCGTTTCCAGACGCAGACAAAAATCTCTTCAGGGGTTGTGTCGGGAAGTAAAACTGGTGGCGAATCAAACAAGGGGAGCTACCTGCTCTGTCGACCCTTTTGTCTAAGCCAGAATTCAGTTCTTGGGTTCCAGTGACCTACCATTATCTCATGGTTAGCACCAGGGTCTCTTCGGTCAGTTTTGGGGGTTCTCCGTGACCGCGCTGGCTTGTTCGCAGAGAATTTACATTACGGTGCGCACCAGGTGGTGAAGTTTAAGCTAACATCTCAGAAATATAACAGGAATAACTACTTGGCTGTTTGGCCCTGAGCTACAGCTACTCAAAGGTGTGCGCAATGGAGTAGTATCAACGCTTTAGAGTAAAGAATATATTCTTGCAGTCACCTGAGTGTCACAAACTATGATTCCATATAAATGCAAAGCAGTTTTATAAGGTGATGATGTCACATGGTATTCTTGCTTGAAAGCCACCACCCCCATGTCAAATCTAGCAGTTGCCGTCAGAGGCAGTATCCCAGCAAGTAACGAATGCTGTCATCGTGGAAATGGTGGTGGCCGGTTATCAGTTTGAGAAGACGCTACTAGGGCTGGGCTATATCATACCGTTCACGGTAATACCGGTGTAATTTTGGGCAACGATAGGAAAATGAAATATCGCGATAGAATATGGGTAAAACGCGCATGCGCA